ACACACAGACACACACAGACACAAACACACACACAGACACACACACAGACACACACACACAGACACACACACAGACACACACACACAGACACACACACAGACACACACACACACAGAGACACACACAGACACACACACACACACACAGACACACACACAGACACACACACAGACACACACACACACACAGACACACACACACAGACACACACACAGACACACACACAGATACACACACAGACACACACACACAGACACACACAGACAGACACACACACAGACAGACACACACACACACACAGACACACACACAGACACACACACACACACACACACACAGACACACACACACAGACACACACACAGACACACACACAGACACACACACAGACACACACACACAGACACACACACAGACACACACACGCACAGAGACACACACACAGACACACACAGAGACACACACACACACAGACACACACAGACACACACACAAACACACACACAGACACACACACACAGACACACACACACAGACACACACACACACACACAGAGACACACACAGACACACACACAGACACACACACACACACACAGACACACACACAGACACACACACACACAGACACACACAGACACACACACAGACACACACACACACAGACACACACACACACAGACACACACACAGACACACACACACAGACACACACAGACACACACAGACACACAGACACACACACACACACACAGACACACACACAGACACACACACACACAGACACATACACAGACACACACACAGACACACACACACACACACAGACACACACACACACACAGACACACACCGACACACACACAGACACACACACACACACAGACACACACACAGACACACACGCAGACACACACACACACACACACAGACACACACACACACAGACACACACACACACAGACACACACACAGACACACACACAGACACACACACACACACACAGACACACACACAGACACACACACACACAGACACACACCGACACACACACAGACACACACACAGACACACACACACACACACCGACACACACACAGACACACACAGAGACACACACACACACACAGACACACACACAGACACACACACACACACACAGACACACACACAGACACACACACACACAGACACACACATACACACACACGGACACACACACAGACACACACACACACAGACACACACACAGACACACACACACAGACACACACAGACACACACACAGACACACACACAAACACACACACACACAGACACACGCACAGACACACACACACAGACACACACACAGACACACACAGACACACACACAGACACACACACACACACAGACACACACACACACAGACACACACAGACACACACACAGACACACACACACACAGACACACACACACACACAGACACACACAGACACACACACAGACGCACACACAGACATACACACACACAGACACACACAGACACACACACACACACAGACACACACAGACACACACACAGACACACACACACACAAAATAATTTAGAGTTTTTTTTGTTTTGTTTTTTACCGCAAAAATGAACTAGACATCGCCAAACATTCATTCTCCGCCTAAAGGTAGCGCTAGAGGTCACAACCAGATGCCAAAGTTTCAGCCCGATTCGATACCTTGTTCAAAAATTTTATGTGGTTTTCTGGAAAGTTCAATGGAAAGATGGCGTCAGGCGAAGTTTTCGAATAGATGGGTTTCTATGGCACCAGAAACCGAAAACGGGCAAAAATAGGCTCCATTTTCTCATTGAAATTTTCAGAAAATCACTTATAAGTTTTGAATAAGGTATCGGATCGGGCTGAAACTTTGGTATCTGGTTGTGACCTCTAGCGCTGCCTTTGGCTGGAGAACAAGCGTTCGGCGATGCCTAGCTCACTTGTACGGAAAAAAAAAAAACTGTAATTTTTTTTTCTGACGCCCTGTTGATGGCGCTGCAACGGCTTGCGCATGCGTTTTCGTTCGGCGGTACTAAAAACGCTGGTTTGACGCGCTTCGCAGCGTTCAGTAGAGCTTGCGAGCGTCGTACGCAGTGCTAAAGGAAGGGTCTTTACGCTGTTCTAAAACTCTTTATTGTAGAAATAAAGTCTGGACCACGTCAGCGGCGTGAAAGACGTAGGTCATGCTTTGGACGTCGTGCCAAAACAGCATGCACAAGTGCATGCAGAGATGTTGACTTTACTTTTAACGTCATGCGTAGCTGATTTTTAGGTCTAGATATTTGTTCAGTCTAGACATTGGGTGAGCTTTCTCCATAGATAACTGCGATCGGCTCTCCCAAGTGCTTGGAGGGAAAGTACACGCGCCAGATTGCTTAGGGTGCTGAATACCAGTGCGTTTTTTATGTTCTTTAGACGTTTTTTTTTCTTCTACTCAGGCATTGCAGTGTAGTTGACTTACTCGTGGTTGCTTATGCTGATAATGGAATTCAATTGTTTTTTGATGTGCCTTTTTATGAGTGTGAAGTTACTGGTTCTATTTCTAGACGAGTTAACTTTTAGTTTATTCTTTTATTTGTATCCCACACCTGCGGAAGTTCATTAACGATGCCTGCAGTATGCTTTAAATAAGTAATAAGTATAAAAAAAAAACAAAAAACTTCGTTGACAGTAAATAGTTTGTCTTACAAATCATTATTCTTAAGCCCTAAAACAGCTTGCCCGAAACTTTTGCCTCAGACGAAGACCACACGCACTTTCTAGTCAGTGGCTTCTAGACATAGCTCTTTCTTAATTAATTTTATGTGCTGCTTCCGTAGAATATACGGTTCAAAAATGACCGATCGATGTGTAACTGCTCGTTCATATCCAGTGCCGTGCATTTGCACTTTTTGAATTGATGGGGACGTTAAAAAATGACAGATGTTCGCATAACTTTCTAATGGGGATGGCAAGGGCGCATATGTTATTTTAAAAAATATAATTAAGAAATAAAGTTGGCGTAGAACGATTAATAAACCACGTCAACATCTTTACGAAAAATAAACAAAGTTGTATTAGCCTCATCCGGTCAACTAGAGCAGGGGTGGCCAGACGGACATGATCGAAGGACCACAAAACGGGACAATTTTAAGTGAAGCGCCACAATAAAAAAGGGGCGTGGCAATTTAAATTTTATTTTTCTCAGTTGGTGGTTACGGATAATTGCAATCATAAGAGCGGTTGTTCAATATGTTTCTTCATTCTGGTTCCCTATTCGTAAAACAAGGACATTGTCCTATGATATGATGACACAAAGCTGACCTTGTCATTTTTCAATGTGTATTTTATTGTGATCTTAGCCGGCTTTGGGGAGGGGGTGGGGCGGTTACCAGGGGGCTGGGACCGCACTTGGGCCCCCGAAGAGCCGCATGAAGCTCGCGAGCCGCGGTTTGGCCACCCCTGCACTAGAGCTTTGTCGATCGCACCTTGCAACATTACACGGATAGATATAAGCGGTAGCATGTTCACGTATATGTTGAACAACATGAAACCCGAGGTATGTACTTCGTTGAGGTACCCCGCACAAGCTGCTTTGTGCGTTAATAAACCAAAATTGTTTCAAGGTGGGCTGTGTAAGTGGATGTGCTTACTTACGAACTATGCATCGAATGCAAGATACTTCAGGAAACACCTTTTAGCCGAAACTGGCGCCTGCAGTTTATACAATCGCAGAAAACTATTATCCGGGAAATACTAATCCCAGTATGGGGCTTGAAACCTTTCCGGATAAGTCCTGAAAGAAGTCGTGAAATGGTACTATAAAACAAATTCTTCTCGATTTTAAGGTTTTGAAAGGTTTTATTGAAGGAAGTGTCCCTCAATCAACGAAGTGTCAGATATTTTTTTTTTATGCATTTTGTAGTTTTGTAGATATCCCATCTCAAAGTTTTATTTCGGGGGTCTACGGTGAAACCGAAACTACCGGCTCGAGCATGATGGCAACCCTTGGGATCAGCTGCATAGCCAACGTGTGGCACAAAGTTCGTACTGCGGTACCGCCAAAACATACGACTGATCTAGTCGCTAGAGCAGTTCCGATCAGTCAGGTAAGATGCTACGGCTGTTTAATGCTTTGGTTTGCAGATATCAAACGTCTGTAGCGAATATTAATACACATTTATAACGTGGCCGGCCGAAAAGCGAGTTTTTCACGATGAACGCAGGCTTGGAACGAGCCCCCACCTATTTTCGGAGAACCTATACAACCTTGGTTTTGTGCAATGCACATTGCAGAAGCGCTGTGGAAGCTAATCGTAACCTCGCGCTGAGCAGGAACGGACTAAACTATGGCCGCCAGTGAATGCCACCCTCGGCACCACGATGTACTTGAGCGAACAAGAAGCCAAAATTCTTTGTGCGCGATCGCCGAAGAGCACTGACAAACTACGGTCGTTAAAACATCATATAACAAGCTATAATCATCCGCTAAAACGAGTTAAAACAAAAAAAAAAAAAAAAACATGGCAAAAGAAGTAGCAGTACGAACAAGAAACCTCCTTGAAAACGAAGATGGCATCATGCCACAATGTTGATTGACAAACAGCCAACCCGCTGAATGCCCGCTGAGAAACTGGTGGTAGCATTTTTAACATCGGTTTTAGAGCAGATCGCGGTTTCCCATCAGGGTAATATCTCGACAGTGCTCGTATTTAGCGTCCGGAAATTGATGTCATTCATTTACTTTGACCGAAGTTACCCTTAAAAGTTTTCAGCAGTAGTGAATAGTCAGTAGTATCAAATTTCTTAAAAACACACAGACACACATAAAAAAACAAAAAAACCTGAGCTATTTTTTGGAAGCGCACATGATTTATATCACGTGGTCGTGCGTCAAAACCTGTGACGCCTGGGTTGCATTGTGGGTGGATATCCCAGTCCCCGTGTCTGATAGCGCGACGCTCATTGCTCGTGGCTCGCCGCAGCCTGCTCTCGCCAGATGAGCGCGAGGAAGAGGCAGCGACGTTCCGACTGGATGGCCGGCCCCCAGATACACTGCGACTCCCGGGGCAACTACGAGGAGCTGCAGTGCGAGGGAGAACTCTGCTACTGCGCCGACCCGATGACCGGCAAGCCTACGGGACACCTGGTGCTCATCCAACAGATCTCTCTACTGCCGTGCTGTGAGTAGACGCTGGTTTCCTGAGGCTGGCGGTACTCTTACTATGGTGCCTCGATCGCGTCTCCGGCTGGTGTGTTTAGCGTCCTATCCCGCCCATACATCAAAAATGATCCCCAAGTGGCAACAAATGACGTCACAGAAGCCGGAGTGTCATGCTGTTGCCTGTCGCGATCCTGGCGGTTGCCCGGAGAAATGCTGGCGAAAAGCACGAGCGAACGCGACTGTCGCTGTCGTCACGGCGTCCCGGGCGTCCCACCTTTCCGCTGCTCTAGCTTCTGTGACCTGCCACACTGGAGAGTGACCTGCAGCGGAATAGGCGTCTGCCATTTATATAACGACTCTTGGGACGCCGCCAGAATCGCGACCGGCGGCAGCATGACACTTCTATGACGCCGTCAGGCGGAAATCGCGGGACCACTTTTTTGGCCGCGGTAAACACACCAGTCGGAGACGCGCTCCAGGCACCATACTCTTACTACAGGCGTTTTTCGTTTCAGTTCGTTCTCAGTCACGTGAGTTTCGTATCTGGTACGCGGGACGAAAAAATGACAAAACACTCCAGCCTGGAATAGGCGAGAAAATATAGGTGGGGCAAAACAATGATATGTGCGCTGTTACGCAATTTTTGTTATAACAAAAATTGCGCATGTTATAACGGAATCACCAGCGGAAGGCGCATGTTATAACATGTGCCTTCCAGCGGAGTTTAGAGATCGAAACGATGCTTTAACGCATACCAGAAGTGACGACATCCATGATGGCTACGTAACAGACGATAAGTTGCTGTACCCACTGCTCCTGTCGATGACGGCATCTGGACACTTTCTGTAGTCACCTAAAGTATGGTGCCTGAAGCGCGCCTTCGACTGGTGTGTTTATTGACTACTCCGGCCCCCGCGTCGAAAGTATAGCCCCGAGGGGGAAACAAATTGCGTCACGGGAGCCGCTGCTGTGTATCATGCTGTCGGATGTCGCGATCCTGGCGGTTGGTCGTAGAAATGCGGACGCGAAAACGACGAGCGGCCGCGAAGGTCGCTGTCGTCGCAGCGTCTCAACTCGCGTCTGCTTCGGTTTCCATTCACTGACCGACTGCAGAGCGACCTGCGGCAGAACGGGAATCTAGCGCATCTGCATCCGCCGTTGTGCCACCGCCAGGGTCGCGGCCGGCGGCGGCGTGACGATTCTATGACGTCACCAGGCGGAAATCAAAGGTCAATTTTAGTACAGATGTGTGTGTGTGTGTGTAAGAGTTGTAAATGAAACTGAGGGGGGAAAAAGAGAGCCAATGGTGTTTGTGCAAAGGGCACATTTGTCTCCAACTGGCGTCACACTACGCTTGAGGAGGAGGAGGAGGAGGAAAGAAGGAGGGGGAGGAGGATTAGAGAGAGTATGAGAAGGAAACTGGAGAAAAACCCCTGAATAATTTGTCGAGAAAAAAAAAAAAAAAAAAGAGGACGCGCGTTACACGGCGTCAAGACTGCGTTCATTCCAAATCGACTGCTTCCCCACAACAAATCGCCGGGAGACCTCCCCACTGCAAATCCCCTCTTTTTTTTCTCTCAACAAATTTTTTTTCTCAGTTTCCTCCTCACCCCCTCCTCATCTCTCTCTAATGCTCACCTTCCTTCTTTTCACCTCTCTCTCCTTCTTTCCCCCTCCTCCTCGAGCGTAGTACGACGCCAGTTGGATCTGTACCAAGTCTTTAATTTCGGTTTGTAAGTTACTAATTTTCAAAACTTAAATATTCACTCATGGAATAGGAACTGAAAACTTAGTTATGTGAAACGATGTGCGCTAAACGCACCATATTGGTTTCTTGGCACCAACTTATACGGCATCGTTTTTTTTTCTCTGTGCGATGCTTAGTTTTTGCAGGAACGTTTTGACCGGCGTTGGATGGAATACATTGTGTCATATGGTTTTTATGTCGGTAGTCATTTTTGTCTTATAACTAGGTACATCGAAAGTTTTGTGAAAAGAAAGAGAATGCATGTTTGAGTAAAAGCTTTTGTAGCATCAGAACTGCGACAGTGACTCCTCAAAAGAAAAAAAAAAAGAAAAAGAAAAACAGCAAACAAAATATACAAACAAACATGCAGCGAAATGCACCTCTTAGAGGCAGATTAGGAATTAGCGGAGGTTTGATTGTTTTTGTGGGCACCAATCTTGAAAAAGGGATACTGACAGACGCCACACGGTAATGCACTGGTTAAATTTCTGATCTACAGCGAGTGACTCGTCGCAACTTTGAAATGGCTGACCAACCACACGCTGTCTAAATATCCACACAACCCCAATTAATTCCGCGACGTCAGAAAAAACAATACAACAGTACCTTCTTGGTGGGTGCCGTATATATGAAGCCATGATGGCATTCATAGAGAGAGCCTTTCCTGCATCTGCTATATTGGAACACTCTATAGTCAAAATGGATTTTCTGCGTACTGACGAAATGTTGGACGTATTGTACCGATACCAAGTGCTGTTCGGATTTCAGCGTTGCATCTTTATTTCGTGGGATGCTGTTGGAAAACAAGTACGTCTCCAGCGGCCGAATGTGTCGACGTTTTAGGGCAGGCGAGAACGAGTGCACGGGCCTTCTTTTACACTAGTAGTGTCATAGAGTAATATACACAAGGAAAAGCGCGGAAGGTCCGGCCGGTTCGCGGCCCACATACGCCTCCATACCCGTCCGCGAAGCGGCACTGCTACGAAAAGTAGTCTGAAAGATTACTGTTTAAAAATACTGCCGCTAAAAATTATGGAGTTTTAATAGTATTTCAAGAAATTAGAACTCTCATGAATGTCGACTCGGTTCGCCGTTAGGCAGGTTTGCACGTGGTGCGTGCCACGTAAGAGAAGAAACCGACGACTGACTGTCATGTCAGATGGAACGCTACGGCGTAGGCACGGGGTAAGATACACTCTTCAGGTGACGTCACGGCGGGGTTGAACGCGCGGCGTGAGGAATCAGATATACTTCATATCACCTTAGCACGGACTAACTGGGAAGCCTGTGCAAGCGCGAGCTGCTAGCTTCGACTGCCTTGACTGGAGCTCTCGCTGCACGAGCGCTCGTGCAGTCGCCGAGGCTTCATCCAAAGCAACTAGCTCGGGCTTTTGGCACGCGCGGCTAACAACAGTCCATGCTAAGGTGAGACGAAGTATAGTGTTCGTTCGACGGGCAACCGAAAGGCTGCATCATTCCGCTGCCACCGTGCCCGCGGCTGACAGTGTCGCCGGCGGCCAAACGGCGAAACTGTGTGAGAGTGGAAAAAATTATCTCGTCGCCATGACACCCCGCCACACCGTGGTCTTTCTGCACGTGCGACAACCTCGCTGGATGCTCTGCTCGTGTGGTACATGAGGCGGCACGAGACGTCTTGTACGTGCGCACGGGTCGACGAGTCACCTGCCGGTGCCGCTTGAAACCATAGTGAGAGAGAGTGAAGAGCGAACTTTATCGGGCACGTCGCGAGTAAAGTCACTGGATCCTGGGAAAGTAACGCCAAGCTCCGCGTGTGGTCGCCATCTTGGTCCATGAAATGAGCAATTTCTCCTTGACCCCTCCGTTCTTGGTTAGCCTATCTAGATTCGCTGGTGACGGGTAGCTTTATTGAGTCGTTTTTTGTATACCGAGATTTTGCTAACCAGACACCGGCGAAACAGGCGTACACGTTCGTACCACCACCAGATGCTGCGTAGGTGCTTGGAGGCACTGAAAAATAAGTTTACTGTCTTGAAATGCGCAAGAAGAACAATATAATTGTAAGAGATCCATGGAGATGGGCCTGATTAATAAGTTGATCGCATACGAAGTGCCAAATACTCTTATATTGAAGAGGAACGCTTCCAGTACGATGATGCTCCATGGTGATCTTGGCGCGACGGGTTTAGAACGACCCCCTGGAAGCTTCGAAGATTTAAATGGACCAAGATGGCGATTTCCATGGCAACGTAGGCCGTTTCGTCTACGTTTTCAGCGGCGCCATGACACCCGCATCGCCGGCCCAGCCTACGAAGGCATGTATGTTCGATGTTTCCTGCCCGCCCGGCGCGTCGGTGGATTCTATCTTCGACGCGGCGGCGGCCATTGTCGGCACTGCCGAATTGTTTTCTGTGCAGCATCTGGGAGGCAGCAACTTTCAGATGTCTGTTACATCGTCATCGGCCATGAGCCGAATCGTCAACGGGGGGCTCTGACCATCGGCGGAACAAGCGTCCCCATCGTCCCGGTAGGCCCGCAAGTAACGTCCATTACGTGCCTCTACCTACCGATTTATGTGAGAAACGAAGCCCTCGCCGCCGCCCTGTCGCTTTACGGGAAGGTTCTGGATATTCGCTTCGGCGTCTACCAGGACCACCCCAACCTCCGGACGGGTACCCGCTACATCCGAATGGAGATGAAGGAGTCTACCCCGGTGCCGAACTTCCTCCGCGTCTCCGGTCATCGGGCCACCTTCGACTACCGCGGTCTCAAGAGAGTCTGCCGACGCTGCCAGCAGGAGGGCCACCTCAAGGCGGCCTGTAACGTGGCCTATTGTGCCCGCTGCGCCGCCTTCGGCCACGACACCGTCGGCTGCGCGGCCGGCTGCGGACGCTGCGGAGCGGCCCACGCCACGGTGGACTGCACCCAGCGTCGCAGCTACTCAGCCGTGGCCGGCTGCGGCCAGGACGACTTCCCGGCCTTGACTCCGGCGTCCCAGACTCCGAAGTCCCAGGGCAGGCCTCCTACCACCCCTACTCCCCCTCCTGCGGCGACGGCCGCTACCCAAGGGTCCGGTGACACGCCTGCCCCCGCCGAGCCCCCAGTGACGACCCCGTCCGAGCTCGCCCCGACATCGCAACAGTCGAAGCCGGCAAGCGCCACCGACGCGAGTTCGAACGCGTCACAGGACGCCGCCGAGGCCGCGCTTTCGAATGCGGTCCACACCGCATCTGTGCACGCGCCCACTCCTACCAGTCCCGGCTCAGAGGAAGTACTGGCGAAGGAGGAACGCC